TTTTGAAGGTGCAATACATTAGGCACACCTGCCAGACCCCTTTTTCATTGCCTTCTTAACCTGGGCGCGTATATGAGTTTGCAGGCTTGTGCCTCTCTGGGGAGAAGGGAAAGATATTTATTTCAGGAGTGTCTTGTGTGCATCATTTATATGCTGAACACATGCCATGTGCTTTCTACAGTATTTTTCAAGCAGGCACTGTGGTTCTGGCGGCAGTCAGCAAGCAGCCTCTGGTTACAGAGCACTGGTAGCTCTGCAGGTACTGCAAAAGGTCTTTCTGCCTGCTTAATACAGGGCAGGGGCTTGGTCTCTTGCCACTGCAAAGGGCACATTTATAATTCAGCAGTAAGTGCTAGGAGTAAAGCAGAAGAAAACATCAGTGACTTTCAAACTGTTCCCTCTGTAGTCCCCAAAGTGTATTTTTTGCCCTTTGGGATGAGGTGGGTGGATAGGGAGCTTTACCTCATTTGCTTTCCTGAAACCTGTTGGAAGTACGAGTGAGGTTTCTGCCTGATTTGTGTATGCATGCAGAAGAGGGCCATCTGAATTGTAAATAGCACCTGCTAAATTATTATTAAGTGAAAGCTGGCGTGGGAGGAGTTCTCAGGCAAAAAAGAAGTCAAGTCTTTTAATAAAAGTCATTCAAGTTCTTCTAACATTGTCCCCTAGCTGCATGCTACATACTTCAGCTCATGTGGATGCTACAGGGAGTTAGGTGAGTCGTATCAAGGACAGGGAAGGCCCCATTAAATCCGGTTACTATCAATTGTGAGAGAGCTTTACATGGCTACACTAAAACTCATTATTAAAGAAAGGAACTATCAATTTTATTTAATGCATGATGCCCAACCTTGATTTTACTCCCAGCCCAGAGAGTCACTGTGCGCAGGGGTGATATAAAAATTAGACCAGCGCTCTTCAGGGCTTGTGTTTAACTGTTGAAAAGTCCTGGCTGCAGCCTGACCAGCTAACTGGGGCTGCGGGAGGCTGTCAAAGCAGGGACCGAGCCTGAACCCAGGCAGGTTCAGCCCATGTTGCCACTTGCCTTAGTGTTGCACAGCTTTTGCTAGTGCAGGGGGGCTGTCGAGCTGGGCTTCAGGTGAGTGGGATTGCTCGGTGGTCACAGCTGCTCCTCCTGAGCATCCTCATCCCTTCCACTCCCAGCAGAGAGCAAAAATGCAAGGAGCCGGGGCCCTGCCTTGGGCTGCCCTTCGTGAAAGGTGGCAAGGCGTCTGCTAGGGTCGCCCTGCGGTGAAGGGAGGCAGCAGGAGAGGCCCAGCCTCGCACGGGAGGTTTCTTGGCACACCTCTGAGCTGGGGCTTAAGAGGATGTTTTCCGTCCCTTCGCGGTTCATGGCCCCTCCATCTCTCCAGGACCCCAGAGTGAGGATGCTCCCTGGTAGCATCCCTGCTGGCTCTGGGGGATGCTCAGGGGGCATTACTGTCACAGGGCTTGGCTGGCGTGGACCAATTATTGCTGACTTGTTTCTCCGTGGACATCAGGGCAAGCTATTGCCAGCCTATGTAATCAAAAGGCTGAAGCTGTAAATCATATTACAGGCTGTAATGAGGAATGTGATCGCTGTAAAAAACCGTCCAACTTTTATTCACATTTAGTACTATTTCGGTTATTACTGTGGAGTAAAGCTCCCTTTAAACAAAAAGAAAAAGAAACATGCCACCAGCACAATTTGATAAGAAACATGCCACCAGCACAATTTGATAGTGTCCTCAGGAAATTTCGGGTTGTGTTTTTCTCACATTAGCTGCACAGGCAAATCTGCAATAAAAATGACTTTGCTGCAGAAGCTTTCTTTTCCCATCACCAAGCTGTCAATCAACCTGTAATTTCTTGGTATTGGACTATGCTGATGAGCTGGCCAAGTTATTCTCCTTACAACATGCACCCCTAAAACTTCATATGTGAGAAAATAATTTTGGATGGAAGAAAGAAGATTTCATATTTCTTTTTTTAGGGGGAAAATTATTTCTCCTGTGATGAGATATAAGCTCTGAGGAGAGTGGAAGTGGCAGCAGAGGAATTCAAAGTCCTCCCTTTAGGCAAAAGACAGACCTGCTTCCTCCACCCCCTCCATTTTTGGGGTCAGTGTTTGTCCCCCATTCCTGTCCCCCTGCCTAGGCTGCCAGCAGTGTTGCAGGGACGGCACGGGCTGGTTGTTGATGTGGGAACCAGTCCCTAACAACAGCTCGTTTCACCAAGGCGCACAGGCGGCCGTCTGACGTTGACAACGTTGAGTGACTGCTGACCTTGTTTTTAGCGTCAGCTGATACCAACTGGAGTCCTGCCAGTTTGCACCAGTTGAAAGTCTGCCTCTTAATGGTGGCGATTATCCTGATTTTTACAGCAGCCCTGGGAAAGTTGCAGCTGCTGCGCTTCACATCTCTGACTTAAATTTGGAGTGCCTGGGTCTTCGAGTGTTATCTTTAGAGGAGTGTGTGAGAAGAACATCTCTCCTTGTTCTGCATCAATCATTTTTTTCCCTATTTATTTTGTATGGAGAGATATTGTTCAAGCACACCATGGAATGAAAGCCATAAAGCTATAAATTACACCTCTGCTACGTCCACAATATGTTACCAATTACATCTGCTTTATTATTCGCCTCCAGGGGGAAAACATTCATCAGACTAACCCCACTTTCCAGGCAGGTTGGTACTGTACTGGAAGGAGCACCGTGACTCTTCTTAATCAGTGGAAAAACAAACACAGTTTCGGCTCACTCACATACGATGCTTGTGTCCAAGATGACAAGTTGAGTAATATTCCTGCGGCTCTCCGAGCTCACCTCGTGCCACGTGCTACGACATTCATGGCAACATCATCACCCTGTGGAAAGGAGAGAGGAGAGAAACCACTCAGAGGGGCAGGGAGCTGTGCGTGGAGGGGCTTGTCTGAGGACCCAGTTGCAGGGACCTTCGAAATTGCTGCCAAGGAGTTGGAGGGGGGAGCAGGTAGTTAATACGAATGTCAGCAAACGGCATCAGAAATCACATTAAAGCCAGAGGGCATGTCTGCAGAGGAGGGCACGCTGTGGTTTGCAGGGCTTTGTTGTTAGAGCAGGGTTAGTGGGGTTTGGTGATGTGTGTCCCAGCAGAGGTGAAGGTTTCCCTGCCTGCCCAGAAAAAAGGGGTTTTCTTCTGCATCTGCCCTGTCTGCATAAATTCGTCACTGCAGTAGGGCTGAAGGTGGGGGTGTTGAAGCAAAGTGGAGCAATTGCTTTGCTGCTTACTTGCATGTAGCTACGTATCGTGGTTTTTGCCTCACCTCAGTGCCACTCCCCGGAGCAGTTGGGCCTTGGACTGCTGAGAATTAAGTGGAAGATAGGTGTTGTGTGTATTTAGGTGTGTTACTGAGCTTTGGAAGCATGGAGTAACGTTCATATTTTTCTAAATGGATGTATACGTTTGTGCATGCATGTATGTGAGTGTGTGTGTGTATACACTAGTTCCAGAAAATCATCCGAAGAGCAACAGAAACTAGTGGAGCATGGGTTTCTTTTAGAAAGGGAGATGAGTGCTAGATACACTGGGGTCTCCACATGAAGAAGTCATCCATGTGCGCTGCAGAGTTTGTTGTGGTTTTGTCACTGAAGCATTCATTCAGCTTTTAAACTTTTTGAAGTTGAAAACAAGTCAAGGTTATGTTTGTCCTTAATAATTCAGCAACGGTGCCAGCTCAGCATATTGTCTTTTTCTTCTCTAGTCATTCTGGTTTATTAAAAAGAAACACTGACGACAGATAGAAAGGTGAAGGAGGCTGTGCCTTTCTGCTTTAACTCCTGCCAGGCACTGACTCCTTCCCCAGGAACTCCCATAGATTTGTGCTGTTCACAATACCTTTGCCCCAGCGATGTCATCTCTGTCCTGGGCAGGGAAAGTTGGCAGCAAGTCAAGACTTAGATGTGCTCCTTTCTGAGGACCACGTCTTTTTTTCTGAATAGGAGCTTTTTCTGTTTCAGTGGAATATTACTCAGAATCCTTCAGTAAGTCTGTCTCAGCCGTACTTTATTTTGACTTTGGTTATGAGGTTGTGGGTTTCTTTTTTTGGTGGGCTTTTTTTTTTAAATAGAGATGCAGAAGATCATTAACTCTTCTAGAACCAAAGAAGCTTGCAGTAAAAGAGGTTTTTGGTTCTCTTGAAAAGTAAATCTACATCAGGACCTAGTTCTGCCACATGCTAATGTATATGTTGCTTCATTAGCAATGCCATTCCTTTCCAGGGGATCTGCTTTCCAGTGGTGGTATTGTCACTGTGAATCAGAATAGATGAACACAATTTTATAAATCTGGGAGAACTGAGAGCACACAGTGAAGCTCATGTTGTGTAACTCCCATCTCCAGTGTCCCTGAGCACAGACCAGCATTGTGCATGATTCACACACGCAGACTTGGCAAGCAACCTGAAACATCATCTGCTGCTTCTGTCCTAGCTCCTCAGCTTTGTCCGTGCACCTCCATTTTGTCATGGTTTGTCATCTCCAGGTCCCATCCCCAGCTCTCTGCAGGCCAGAAGCTACACACTAGTTCTACGGGAATAAATGGAGGGCTTAAGTCAGATCCACCAAACTGTTTAATATGGGATGAGCCTGAGGATTTGAGATTTGGCTTCCATAGGCATAATATTTTGCAGTATTTGACATGAGTCCTTCCTGGAGACGGTGGGAATAGGAGTCTCTTTAGGCAGAGGAGGTAAAAATAACATTTACATTCCTGTTATTAAAAATGAGAAGGGTGAGAGCAAGAGAGCAGGAACGTTGGTGGTTGTTAATATAGTTCCATCAGGGGTAGTAATTCATTTTAGAGCATAGTATTTATTTGTGTTGAATACCTGTTTCTGGAAGAACTTCATTCTCGTGTGTGTGCGTGTGCTGTGTCTGAAGCCTGTGTCCCGTTTTCCCTTCCTGCCACTGAACAACCGAAAAAAGCTGAGGAAGGCAGCATCTTGACACTGTGGTTTCACTCTGATGTTGTATTGCAGGAATGGCCTCGCATGTGCAAGTTTTCTCTCCTCACACCCTTCAGTCAAGTGCCTTCTGTAGCGTGAAGAAACTGAAAGTGGAGCCGAGTTCGAACTGGGATATGACTGGGTACGGCACACACAGCAAAGTCTACAGCCAGAGCAAGAACGTGCAGTCCTCCCAAGCAGCCGCCGCAGCAGCCGTCAACGCCTCCCTCCAGATCCCCAATCCGAGCATCCCTTACGAGCAGACCATCATCTTCCCAGCAAGCACGGGGCACATTGTGGTGACATCCGCCAACAGCACTTCAGGTGTGGTTGCAGTGTCTGGGCAAACACTGGGCGGGCCACACAACCTGATGCGTCGCAGCACTGTGAGCCTTCTGGACACCTACCAAAAATGTGGACTTAAGCGCAAGAGTGAGGAGATTGAGAACACGAGCAGCGTGCAGATCATTGAAGAGCATCCGCCAATGATTCAGAACAATGCCAGTGGGGCCACCGTAGCCACCGCCACCACCTCTACGGCCACCTCCAAAAACAGTGGCTCCAACAGCGAAGGGGATTACCAGCTGGTGCAACATGAGGTGCTCTGTTCCATGACCAACACATACGAAGTGTTAGAGTTTCTTGGCCGTGGAACCTTCGGACAAGTAGTCAAATGCTGGAAACGTGGCACTAATGAGATTGTGGCCATCAAGATCTTAAAGAACCATCCCTCCTATGCCCGGCAAGGCCAGATAGAAGTGAGCATCCTGGCTCGTCTGAGCACCGAAAGTGCAGATGACTACAACTTTGTCCGTGCGTACGAGTGCTTCCAGCACAAGAATCACACGTGCTTGGTCTTTGAAATGTTGGAGCAGAACCTCTATGACTTCCTAAAACAAAACAAATTCAGTCCGTTGCCCCTTAAGTACATTCGACCAATTCTCCAGCAGGTAGCAACTGCCCTAATGAAGCTGAAAAGCTTGGGACTGATTCATGCTGATCTCAAACCGGAGAACATCATGTTGGTAGACCCATCCCGACAGCCATATAGGGTCAAGGTCATAGACTTTGGTTCAGCTAGCCATGTGTCGAAAGCTGTGTGTTCCACCTACCTTCAATCCAGATACTACAGGTAAGAGACTGGGCCCATGTAGTGTTCCCAGGAGAAGTATTTTACTTATTGGAATTTTCCTACATTCCTGCAAATGAAAGAGAGTCATCCCTTAATCCTAATCTGGGATGGTTCTTCCCGTGGCTTGTTGGTGGTAGGAAGAAATGGTATCCTAACCTCTTGGAGTTTGCTTGCATTGAAAAACCATTGCAAATTTGTAAATGACGATAAAATCTTGTAAAAACAGACTTTGCCAGTTACGATTTAGAAAGCCTTCCACCTCTGTCAGTACTTTGTTACCTCTGAGGCAATTTCCAGAAGAGAGGATGTACCTAAAGAGTCCATGTTTCCATTCCAAGTCAATGCAAGTACGTTTTTGGTTTTGAAAAGATCCTAACCTAAACAATCAATCCATATTTCAGATATGCCTTCCAGTTTTTACTCATATGTGAATCTAGGGACTTTGCAATAATGAGGTTGGCCCATGGGTAAACTGTGCTGATGCTTTCTTAAGGAGCTGTGTCTGAATGTCAGAGGTTGTGGATCTTACTAGAGTCAATGGGAGGATTCTGGCTGGCTCCTGTTGGCTCTACTCCAGGCCAGTGGTCAGCCTGGCCAGGCTAAAAACATCTTTCTCCATGTGGGAAGCTGTTGGTAGAGATGAGTGAGTATTGTGAGTAATTTGTTGTTGGATTGAGGACCTATTGCAGACTGTCGATTCTCATTCACAGGGCTTTTAGCTATGGGTATGCTATGTGCTAGGATGGAATTCTGACCTCCACATAGGTGTGCCCAAAGTGAAACGTGTGAACCAGCTGAATCCCTCTCCGGTCTGTTGAATGGTTTCAGCAAAGCAGTCTCTTTTCATAACCTCTGGAAGGTCATCTGTTTTGACTCCAAGACACAAAGTCTTTCTATGGATGTTCTCCTCAGACCCTCTTTTTGGTAACAGTCAGCTTGATTCAACATCCTGAGGACCAAGAAAAGCAGTTCTACTGGTACCTCAGGGGTGAGGGGAAGAAGAATTTGTCTTCAGATGACAGCTGAATTTAGAAATGTTCAGGCCATGTTTTTGTCGTTGTAATTCTGTGAAACAGGCAAAGAGTTTTCCTCTTTTCCATTTTTCATGTGATCCTTCCTGATGACTGATTTAATGAAAATCAGTCCTGGCAGCATCTACGGCTCATCAGAGGGGTTACAGAAAAGCAGAGGGTAGTTGCTCTGTTTGTAAATAGGAAATAAATCTGTCTTATACATGAGGAGGTCTAGAGATGACACAAAAAAAAAAGTGAGTTGATCAGAGATCCTTTTCTACTTCATAAACAGTGGCAAAGCCTACCTGAGCTCTGAGCTTGGGAAGAGTTAATTTTCACAGGAACAGGAACTTTGACTGTGTAGCACTGTAGCAGCTGATTTTTATCTGCTTGTCCTTTGCTCTGAAGGAGGCCAGAAAAAATCCCCAACCCTAGTTTATACCTCCAAAGAGGCTTATTAAATGAAATATTCTACCTGATGACAGTCCCATCCTCCAGGAGAGACATGTTTCTGTGGTAAATATGCAAAAGCTTTTAGGGTTGCAATTACCTGGCAGACTAGAAGGAAAAGAAAAAAAAAAAGATAATACAGGCATTTTGTTGTTGAGTTATCTGTGATTCTGCATTAGCAGCCTAGGTCCCTAGCTGAAAGACAGAAGGGGCAGCCAAAATGAAATATGTGACAGAAAGCAGAAATGAAAGAGAAAAATGGTTCATTCTCAGCGACAAACAAGGAATATTTTTGTGGCAGTCTCTGGGGAGGAAAAGGCTTGATAAAATTTGCTTTTCATATTTTAAATGTTATTCCTGCCCAGTCTGAAGTTGCAGCTTGTTAGATAATAAGTTCTGTCTGTCTAATTCCTCCCTTGTTTTCCATGCCTGAATTGATGGGAGGAGGGGGAAAGGGGCAGCAGCTCACCGGGGAAAAAAAAAGAAAAAGAAAAATCTCATTGGATTGAATTACATCAGCAGGGGGCTGCTGATGAAGCTAAATTCAAGTCATGAGGAAAATTTATATTCTTCTTCATTTTCCGATGGGGAAAAATACAGCACAGAGCAAAGACCCGTTCCACTCCAAAGAGAAGGAACTTCCGTACTAGAGAAAACACTGGGCTTTATAAAGATTTCATGTGTCTTCCATTTAATTTACGCTTGTTTTGCTTGCTAGAGTATAAAAGACAAGGGGATGACTTTAAGAAATGGCACATTTAAGCTGAACATGAAGGAAAAGCTTCCTCAGAGTAAAACCTCTCAGACTCTAAGCAGGCATGCCAAAGAAGTGACAGAAGCCCTGTGCCCCGTGCATTTATGGAAAGACGAGGCAGAGCGCTGGGGAATATAATGTAGAGGTCATCTTTCAGATAGAGATTTTTTATCATGGCCTTTTGGGAGCAAATTCCCAAGTCTTCCCCATATTTTATTAACTACTTGGTTTTTATTTTCCCGCTTTTTGTTTTGTTTTGTTTCACACTACTCTCAAGAATGTGATCGCCAAATCCTTTCAAGTGAGGAGAGTTGTGTGGGATCCTGCTCATTCTCAGAGCAATATGAGGCCTTTCCTTTTCCTATAAATGGAATTTTCTTCTCCTGGAGCTGGAAGCAGAAGTGTCTTTAAACAATGTTCTTTCTTGACCTGATTCTGCATAGCCCAGCCTAAGTTAAGACAGTCCCACGGCTGCTTTCAGACTTTACATGAGCCATTTGCTGTTGCTGCCAGGTAACATGCTCTGAAGATGAACCTGATTCATCTCAGCTTCTCTGTGAGAGGAGTAGTGGGCAGGGTTGGTGTTGGGCTGCTCGTGCAGCTCATGATGGCCCGCTAAGCGCCCCAACGTCAGCAGCGTTTCTATCCCACCAGGGATATTACTGTCAGGCTAAGCCAGTGCTCTCCAGAAGGTTCGTGATGGCGTTGGGATGGCAGGGTGTGACAGAAGGTAACAAAAATGGTCATCAAAATGCTTAGAAAAACTTAGCTCCTATCCCTCTTAGAGGACGTAGCTTCCTCCAGGCTTGATCTGTTGCTATAACCGATATCCCGGAGATTTTTCTCCCTTGCTCCTGACTGTCGAAGGGCCTGAGAGAGGCAGGACACACCAGGCCAAGGTGGACCTTTCAGGACTGCCCCCACACTTCTCGCTGCTGACAGTCCTTCTCTGGGAGGGCAGCACCATCCCATCCGTGCTGCCTGTTCCAGGCCACCAGCCACAGCCTGGTGGGGTGCAGGGGACAGACGCACCCCGTGTCCTGCCTCTGTGTCTGCTCCTAAGAAGCTATCACAGCCACTGTAAAAACTTAAAGCTCCCAGTTCTGAGTCCTTTACTAAAGGGGAATGACCCCAGAGCAGGCTGGGAGCCAGGGGTGGCATCTTCTGACCCACAAGGCCCACGCTGCCATGGCGTCATCTCCAGCTCTGATGGCACTGTCACGCTCACATCGCTCCCCCCACTCCCCGCCAGCACTGGTGGGCCTGCCCATCCTGATTTCATCAGGCCACTCCTTGCACTGCTGCTCCGGCCCAGTCAGAGATTTTGTCAGTACTGTGGTTAGAATTGTCATCTAAAAAGGGGTGTGCTGTGCAGAGGACCAGCCTCCCTCCTGCCACTCATCTTCAGCCTGTGGTGCAAAACTTGTGGTGGCACCTAGCGTTTCTCAGGTAGCAACCTTAGACTGCACGTTTAGGACCTGGCTGGTGGCCATCCAAGCGTTCTCCCTTGCTTAGGATGCCAGTCCCAGCTCACCCCCCAGTCACTGTAGTCCTTTGTCCTGTCAGTTATCACCAGCTAAGCCATCCAGGGCCTGATCAGTGACCCTTCATGAAGGTACATGGGGACACAGCCACAGGCTGAAGGTGCCTGGGTGAGGATCAAAGCTGCTGCTGAAGGGCTGCTCCGCCCAGCTCTCAGTGCAGGAGAGGGGCTTTGCAGCTGGCAGTTTTAACCAGACACACTTAGGCTAAAAGTAAAGTCCTGCTCACGGAGCATCTGATCAAAAAGCTGTGATAGCTGCTGCAGCATGAAGTATCTTCATGGGATTTTGTTTTTTCCTTTTCTGTTTTGTGCTGCAGTTTGAAGGGGAGATCACTGAGGTAGTCTTTCTGGCCACCATTTTGCAGGAAGTCAGAAGGGGGAATGACCAGAGAGATCCCTTCTGGGTTGATAATCCATGTACAGACAGCTTCCTGGGGAAACCCGAATCCTGCAGGGCTCAGGCTGCAACAGACACACCCTCTGTTAAAACCCACATTCACACACCCAGGTGGAAGAGGGGTAACTACCCTCTGGAAGAGGGAGTGGTTGTGGTGGTGGATAGAGCTGCGATCCTCCTTTGCTGGAACCAGAGCAATTCCCTGGTGGTAGCACTGGGATGTTTCGTGCAGGAGGGCTTTTCCTCAGGGCACTACCACTGTGCTACCTTGCTCTCTTGGCTTTTCTTTGCTGCTCAGCTGATATAGCTGCTGTGTTGCACTCCAGGGATGATAGCATTTCACTAATTAATGGTGTAATCACCTTATGAGGTTTAAGTCTTTCGGAATTTGCAAAATATTGCAGATACAAAAAAATGGCTGTCCCCCCTGCGCTATTAACAGATAAATGCAGGTTTGGTTCCTTGTTTTCAAAAGGCTTTGGTATGTGGCGTGTCTGGCTTGGGTTGAGATGTGTGCTTTGTAGGTAAGTGGCCTTTGATGAAATGTTTGGATAGCAGAGAATGAAGCTGAGTATCAGCTTGAAGAGGTGTTTATCAGTCTAGTTTCAGACACTGCAAGAAAATATGCAGGCATAAAGGCCTACGTGCATGTTGTCAGCTGCCCGTGCAGGGTATATAGTGAGGCTATGTGCAGCTGTGGTTTTTAACTCTCTGTACACGGTTCACCGGGTGAGTGCGGGTCCTGAGGGATACAGGGGGCTAAACTGGATCCCTTTTGCCACACATGGACATTGTGCCGTGACAGGTCCTCTAGCCCTGCTAACAGGGAGCCAAAGCAAGGTA